TTGTAAAATATTCACTTTTCGATTATTTTACCTTAATACTTTTATGTACAAAATAATGAGAGGAATCAATTGGCGTAAAGAAAACATATAGTTGTTTTTAAGAAAAAATATGTAATTTGCAATTAACAATTCCATATTTTTTCTTAAAAACAACTATATGTTTTCTTTACGCCAATTGATTCCTCTCATTATTTTGTACATAAAAGTATTAAGGTAAAATAATCGAAAAGTGAATATTTTACAAGATATTTTACGGTTTATGTAAAATTAAGAAATGATTTGAAGCATCATAACTCGATAAATGCTTGAGGGAAAAATATTTTATTATAGTGTTTTAGAAAGCTCTCGAGGTCAGCTATAAGAATATACAATCAAAAATAGGGGTTCCTATTTAAAAAAAACACTTTGACCTTCAAATAACCTTGAAGGTCAAGCTCAAGGTCAAATTGAAGGTCACCGTTGAATTCCTCGTTGAAAATTACTTCAGAAATGACCTTGACCTTTTTCAAAAATACCTTACATGAGAAAATATTCAGCCGTCCCGGGACTTAATTGACACCCTGTATATATATATATACATATATAATATTCTGCACTTAGATATGACATCCTAAAGTATTGTTTTCCCTGATGTAAAAAACGAAATAGCAGTATAAATATTCCCAATTTAAACACATCTATAATATAAGATTATTGCTTCCACAATCACTGCAAGTTAATGAAGGAGCGTTGATTACTCCATTACAGATCACAAGAGTCTATTAGCGGAGACTGTAATATTGAACTCTCGCTTCTCAAAAGATTCTCATGTTTTATAATGGATTTCTTCTTGACATTGCATACAAGCTTTCAGATGGATCTTTCGGATGGTTTACAAATTAGTATTCATCTATACTGTATCCTGCAAAAAACAAAATGAATATATCATTAACAGACATCAGAACATTAAGACAATACATTAATGTAATTGTCATTATCATAATTTAGTTTTTCTTTTTTAGATTGAATAAGTAAGAGAACACAATTTTTAAGAAAACATACAATATTATGTAGTTATACAGTTATCTTAGCATTGATATGAATTGTGCAGACACAAAAATACATTAATTACTGTGTCAAAATCTTACTGTAAATAAAATGAATGATTAATAAATTACTTATTAAAATGTTTTAATTAATTAGTTTTTTAAATTTATGTTGTGTATGCGTACTTATTATAAATTATGAAAATATTACAAAAATACTCACTTCTGTGATCATAATATGTCTTATTACATATAGCCAAGAATTTGCTCCACATTGTTAAAGTACTCATTTTCACTGAAAGAATTCTGAGTCAATGTCCTTCATAAAAACTGAAAATTTGGAAATCTAACAAATATAAGCTTAATATTACAAATATGTTAATGACAAAAGATAGATGAGATAAAAATACGCGAGGTTAGGATATATGTCATATGTGCAGTAGATAAATGTTAAACAGAAAACCTTCGGGCGCATTCACATCTTGGTAGAAAAATGGAAAGCAGGAAAGCAGAAACCAATGAGAACTCACACTAGTGGTCACAATTTCTACTTTATGCGTCGTCTACAATGAGATCTTAAGGAGACTTAAGGCGTAAGATTTAAGAAATTGACCAATCACAGTCGAGTATTAAGAGAATACTCGACTGTGATTGGTCAATTTCTTAAGTCTTACGCTTTAATGCGTCGTCTACAATGAGATTTTAAGAAGACTTAAGGCGTATTCGAGTGGATAATCCGCTCAAAAACGGTACTAGAAATCTATGTGAAAATTTCATAAACTTTCAAGACATATTACTTTTTTCATTTTTGATAAGTGAATATCTTGGACATTAATAAAAGTATATAAATAGACTCGGCCATAAGAATAATTTTATTTTTATTTGCATTTTATTTTTAAAATACGCAAAAAATAGGCTATCTCCCATTTATCCGTTTAATTTCAAATAATCTGTTCCATATTCTGAATCCCAACAAGCGATCCAGATTATTAAACAAATTATTTTAAATTAAATCAGTTTATTAAATTAAACTGACTAAAAGACCGTCTACAATGAAAATAATATCGGTGGAGTGGACGGTGGAGTAAGGCGTAAGACTAGGAGTAATGCGAAATGAAAAAGAACCATTCGCTTACGCCTTACTCCACCGTCCACTCCATCAATATTACTTCCATCGTGGATGGTCCTTAAAAGAAAAAATAAACTTCGGACCGTGTTAGTATCAGTTCTTTATATATACTTTATGACGAAAAATTGAATACGAGTTAGCTAATTTAATGCAGCGCCGCATAGCGGCAAAGCGAAGAAACATATTCTATATACATATGTACTATCACATATTTAGAAACATACAGATATAATTTTTTTTTTAGCAAACTTTTTTCTTTCTGAAAGATTTCAGAAATATTGCAAATACATTATTATATAAAATATAAATATTATAATATTATAATATAAATATTATGAATATTATAAAAAAACATGATGCAGGCATATTTCTGAAATATTTCAGATACAAAATTACAATTGAAAAATTTTAATAAAATATCTTTTAACATTACAATATTACCGAGTCGTTGAATGATTAATCATAATTTCAATAGAAATATCCACACGAAATCTACATTGATCGAGAATAAAGTACCTCGATGTAATAATGGAAAAAGAAAGTTGTATCCACGTAGACAATTCGTGGATAAATCTGCATCCACGTAAGCCACGTAAAATATGTGGATTCGACGAGGATGTGACGTAACTGTTTTTGTCAAGAATGTACTGTTGTCAAAGTAGTCTATCTATAATTAATTCCTTATATATATTTAATAACATGTCGTATTTCAAAAATATTGGTAATGTATACGTCAGACAATCAATGTACATCGGACAATCATCATAGATAATTTTGTACATTATAAATAATTGTAGTGTTGTCAAAATAGCCTATCTATAAATAATTCCTTATACATACTTAATAGCAAGTCGTATCTCAAAAATATTGGTAATGTATACGTCAGACGATAAATGTACTCTAATGTATACAATAATATATGACAATTTTGATGTCGCCAAAATAGCCGATTGACATATACAGGGTGTCCGTAGATTTTCCACCAAAATGAAATAAATAAGTAGATTGGCTCGAATTAAGAAGGAATGACCTGTATTGTTTTGGGATTGTCGCAATAATTAACGAAATATTAAATAAAACAGATCGGCCAATCTGCGTGAGTAAAAGCGCGCAGCGACGAGAGTCGTCCCACCGTAATCCGATACTACGAGCGCGGCGAAACGGTGGGCGGGTCGCTCTCCGAGACATGATGGTGGTTTGCGATATATCGCAATACCGCGCCGAAAAATGACCCGTCCCCCCTTTTCGTGGCGAGAAAATGATGCGCTATCATTTCCACACCACCTTGCGGTAGATAGCATGGTGCGCTTTTTTTATAGTGGTTTCCCCCATAGGCCTATTCCACTCTCAATTTAAAAATTATTCAAAATGCCATTTACTATACGCTGAATATATCGTAAATGTAAAAAATTAATGGACAGTACCTTTACAAAAATTGATTCGTGGTTGAAAATCCCTCGATAAAATGTATTGCACACGTTGATAATGTGATACGATGATAAAATTCTTCAAGAATCCTTTCTTCATCTCGTACACGAAGACGCACTGCTGGACCGGTTATCCCGATATTATGCACGACACTCAGTTTCACATAATTATTGCACAACACGTAAAATTGTACGGCCACTTGGTTTTCGTGCACGCCCGAGAAATAATTCCATGTAAATTGCGGCCGCACGATAAGTATTTTCTCCCGCTAGTCCGTATGCCACAATCATATCCATATATTCCTGCAGAGTACACTTCATTTTCTCTGTTAATTTACTACGCAAACACAAGATTTTTATTAAAACGTCTTAGCTCTCGCACGCTGTTACCAGACTGCGTACGCCAGCAGCACGCAACTACAGCTGACAGCTGAGCGGACTGTGAGTGTAATCATAGTGCGCAGGCGTCGAACTCACACGTACGCTTACACTCACATGTCCGCTCAGCTGTCAGCTGTAGTTGTGTGCTGCTGGCGTACGCAGTCTGGTAACAGCGTGCGAGAGCTAAGACGTTTTAATAAAAATCTTGTGTTTACGTAGTAAATTAACAGAGAAAATGAAGTGTACTCTGCAGGAATATACGGATATGATTGTGGCATCCCAAGCAGCACAGTTACGTTTAATAAATGTTTTAAAAACGTTTAGCCGAAACGTTTTTGTGATGTATAAAAATACGTTTATTAACCGGTCAAAATGTCTCGTATGAAAACGGTTTTTTAAACTAGTAAAAAAGACGTTAAAAAAACGTTGTAAAGTAAACGTTGTTTAAAAATATATCTAGGGCGGTATTCGTCAGATCTTATGTTTAAGATTGTCTTAAGATCTCACCCAACCAATGAAATAACACTAATACTGCTATTTCATTGTCTGCGAATGAGATTTTAAGACGATCATAAATATAAGATCTTACTATAAATACTGACCTAGAAACCTCTTTAATACAAATTAAATGTACACTTAAATATTGTTTATATTGGAGTTGGAAAAATATTAATTTTTTAATGAAATGTTATTTTATTTAAAATAATTGTTTACTGAATTACATATGATAATAAAACATATTATAATGAATACATATTATAATGAAAAGTAGAATGTATTGACAAGTAAATGTATTAAATTTTGCAGAAACAGGAGTTATACACAAGTTATTACAGAAAGTTATGTATTCGCATAAATAATAATCACAAAATAAAAGATATTTTTAAAGTAAAGACTAGCATATAAAATAAAAATGTATGTGTAATATATATCTTTGATTAATAACAAAATAAAAAAATATATGTGTAATATATATGTCTTTTACTAATAATAAAATAAAAATATATGTGTAATATATCTTTGGAAGAAATGATTAGGAATTATGCAACCTAACTCTCGTCTTGGCTTGTTTCAGCCAATCTTTAATAGCTGATTCAATTTCTTGCGTTGACGCCGAAGGAAGTGCTTTACGTACAGAATCTATAAAGAAAAAGCAGCTAAATTAAGAGAATTAAAAAAATAAGATAAAATCATAAAACAAAGTTCTTTCAAAAGTGCATTCTAAAACAGATCAAAAGTGCATTCTAAAACATACCAAGAAGCAAATGCATTGATTTAAGTTCTTTAAAAGGCCTCTTTGGAACCCTTCCTCCCCAATTAAAATTAATCGCAAACTTAGACGTTATAAGATTTTTCATTATTTTTCTAGTAATCCCTGCAGCACCATTACCTCCAATATGACTAAATTTTGATATCTAAAAAAGTACACAATATTAAATTAATGAAAGTCTCCCACTAAATTCAAACCAGATGAAAAAAATGAAACACTTACCATGGTCTTATAATTTTCAGTAATAGAAATGTATTGCTCAAATTCATTAAGCTGTGTGTCATTGTCAATTGGCAGTGTTATTGGGACATTTGTTTCTTGAACTTCAAATCTTTCAGGTTTTACATAACTTAATACTTCTTGTATATCAGGTATAATAACATTATTTTGGATATAATCGAGTTTCCTAAGTTTTTTCAAAATTAACAAATGCAGTGATTCATCTGCAATAAAAAAAATAGAAGTTTTGCTTTAACTTGTAAGAACGATTGTGACTATATATAATTAAAGAGGAATACATTAAAAATAGACAAAGTTATTGTGTCAGTATATTATAACAATATTGTTATAATAAAAATAATATTTTAACCAATAATTTCTTTGTTATCTCTAATAATTTATTAAAACAATCATAATCTGTAAATAATTAATTCTGAATTTTGAATATTTAGTATTAGATTAATTAAGATTATCATTTTAATTTTTAAGGATTTTTATTCATCCTCTATCACTAATATTGTTAATTATATTAAATGATCTATAATAAATTACATTTAATTGCAAATATTTTTATAAAATATTAATGCACATTTAGCATGTGTTTGTTGCAAATTTTTAAATGTAATATTAAAAAAATTTTCTAAATTATAAAATTAGAGCTATTTCTATTCTTTTAACTTTTTTTGTTTATATATTTTAGTTTAAAAGCTAATAGTTAATATACTTATAGATAAAATTATAGATTTAATTTAAAACTGTCTTAAATAATATTTTAATACGGCTAATACAGTTCTATAGTTGATTTATCACATCTTTAAGAGTATATGTATATATTTAAAATGGTCTCAAATATGAAAATAAACTACAAATACAATCTAATTGATCAAAAGTGCATTCTAAACTTATAATTATGGCTAAATATTATTATTAATCAAATATTTTAATTAAAAAAAACCAACCTGCATTTCTGTTACTGTTCGTGGAAGTAGAAGGCATAATAAATGAACTGAAATTTTCATTTTCCATACAATTTCTTTCACGTGATACCTCTTGAAAGTTAGAATTTAGAGTTGAGTTTTTCCTGTTTGAAGTAGATTTATCAAATGATGTAATTGTAGGAGATCTTATTTTACTTCTACTTTTGTCTTGCTTTGAGTTCTTTAAAACAAAGCTGTCTTCACTTGACGAATCTCCGACATTCTTCTTTTATCTCTATATTCATTATTATCGTTATTATTATGATCAGTCGTAGAAGAAGTAGTAGCTACAATGGAGGAACTCAAATTATCATTCACTTTGGATGTCCTTTCACGTGGTAACTCTGCTAGAGAGTTTACAAAGTTTTCCTTGTCTAAAGTACATTTATCAAATAAATTTATTGTAGGTGGGGACCTTATTTTACTTTTATTTTTGTATTGTTTTTTTTTTCTTTAAAATAAGACTTTCTTCACTCGAAGAATAAATTTTCGATATTCTTTTTCTTTTAGATCTACATTCATTATCTTCTTCTGAATCTAAATGAGATGTATATACAGCTTTTGCTAAATGAGAGCGAGCTTCTTGATATGTATCTGCAATCAAGCATCAAAGTTCATCATGTGATATATTGTATTTCTATATTTATACTTTAAATAAGATGCTGGTTTTGTTTTTTAGTTAGAGCCAGAGATATCTGTAGGCATCTGTGAATTCAATATAAACCGATAAATATAGAAGTAAGCGATAGGAGACAGTAGGAGGTATCAATTCTAGTTTTGTTTAGCCCCTCTCTAGAAAAAATTGATTTCTCGATCAACGATAGCAATGGTTTACGTTTAGACGAAACAGATCAATGAATGCTCAGTAATTCTTTTTATTATGATTTGTTTCTACACTTATAATTAGATCTAGTGATTCTCTATTTAAAGGCAAAAACCAATCATATAAATCACTGAACGCTCACTGATCTCTGTCTTCTGAACATGGGCAATGTCGATCATGAAATTGTATCATTTTTGAAATTTTTCAGTTTATTCTTAATTACATTCGAGTCAAATAGAAAAAAGTGTGTTTATTTAGCAAAAACATCTTTCATTATCTAGATATTATTGTCATTCATTACTTGTGTCTATTTATCGATAGCAATATAAAGTTTACCTTTCAGATTTAATTCTTGTAATTTGTTACATATAAATATATTTTCAAGTTAAAAAATTTTATGATTTCACATAAGTTAAATATATAATAAAAATTTATTCGTATTGTTGAAAAATAATATAAGAAATAAAAATAATAAAACAACAATTTGTAAAATAAGATGTGTGAAAATAATAAAATTTGTTACATAAATGTACTCACTATATTTATGTAATATTCTGGTATCATATTCGTCCCACTTTTCTGGATCAGGAATTTCAATTGATAAAATAGCTTTTTTAATTCGATCGGTACCTTTGTAATAAGGCCAATAGCATTTAGTACCTTCTTTGTTAATCCATTTTGTTGGTATAACTTCCGTTTCTGCAGTTTCAATAAATTCAGCCACACAATACATATTTCTAAAATAAATACTATATTATAATTATACAAATATATATAAAAACAATTATTTTAAATATTTTATTAATTAAATTTAAAAAATAATTACTTTTAATATTTTTCTTGAAATTTAATAAATAAAACTTAATTAAAACAAGTTGATTCCGATACTTAATTCCGATATTTTAAACTTTCTTTATATTAATAATATTAAGAACTCATAATAAAGACTGCTAGTGAAAATTTTATACGCAACTCATTATTGCTCAACATATTTAATGCTCAACTAAACAATTTTATACATTTTGACATAATAATTCGATTACAAATATAAAACAAAAGTAATTATGTATAAATCCAACAAATGCAATTTTAAAAACTTTATTTATCAAGATGTAATAATGGAAATACAATATATGTATCAATTTCAGATTGATTATCTGGTAAAGCAACTAATTTTCTTTTCACGTTTTTTAAATCGTAAGTATGAATTGTTGGGTTTAAATTAGAAACTTTAAAAGTATGAAGATTAGATGAATTACATGCATAGTTGTAAAAGTTTTTTATCTCTTTATATTCATTGACAACTACATAATGTTTCGTATGGATTTTGTCAAATAAAATATTTTTAACTACAGCAATAGTCCCGTTATCTAATTCTATATGACTGTTATTGTGTGATATTGATAAAGTATACAATGGTGTAATTATTTTATGGTATTGTTTTGTATATTTATATTCTCTCGGTATATGACCGTTAATGTGAGAATGTACTACCCGCATACTATCTTTTTTAATAGATAATTTAAGCATATTCAACTCATTAATGCGTAAACAAATTTGTTGATGAGGTTTAGATGGACCTCGAATCAATTTTTTTAATTTGCCTAAAAAATTTTCAAAGGGAAAACAGGAATAATCCCATAATAAACCAAACTTTCTAATATCATCACAAATATGAATGAGATTATGAAAATTATAAACTAGAATTTGATTTCCATAAATATGTTCTGCATGCAGGATAAAATTTTTTAAAAGTTCTTCAGCATAATCTATATGTCTAACGAGTTCAGCACTAGATAAAATAAATGCTGCACAATGTAAAAGCATAAAATGCTTATAAATTGCATTATCTAAAATGTCTTTTAAGACTACAGATCCAACATATAAAAGAAAAAGCCTATATTCTGTGGCCTTCTATCTGCTTAATTCTGTTAAAGATCTTGTTTTTCTTGCAAAATCATTCGGAATAAATGATCTTAAAAACAACATTTTTCTTGTAAAGTTCTGAATTGAATGAAAGGAAAGTTTATAAGGTGGTTTTCCATTAACAACCCAGCGAAACAATAAAGTTTTCATTACTCCTAGACACAAAAGATGCATAGCATCCAAAGGAAATTGAGTTACTGCACCAATATTGTAATTTACTAAAGGAGAAGTGTCTTTATGATGATCTTCATCAACTTGATTATAGAATGATTGATCAGTCCTTCGTAAAGCAAAAATATTTTTGTATATCATTCGATGTGAGATACTAATTCCTTCAACGGAGCACTTTTCACAACCATACCTGGCATTATGAGAAGTACAACATTTTAAATAGGCTCGAGCTGGCGCATCACATATAAAGGCATTTAATTTAATTTTTACTTGTTGTCCATTATAAAAAAAACCATTTGTTGCTAAAACATTTAACTCACATAAAAATTCTTGTAAATACAGATCCAAAGGTTTTGGTTTTCCAGTGCCTGTAAAAATGCCAACTACAAAAGGATTTTTATTTTTTATATCTATACATCTTACAAGAATAGGCCACAGACACACTCCACTACTTTTATAAATTGGAACACCATCAATATTTACATCAATCCTTAAAATTTGAATTACATTTTCATTTAAATCATTTAATATTTTTAAAAGACTCTTTGCGATACCAAAATGTGTGTATAAACCATTATCTAAACTCAATATATTTACTTGTCTGGGTGTATGAAGTATAGTTTTGCTCTTTAAGGGTAGACCATCTACAAATTCATTTAAGCGAAGTAATAAATTATCTAATGCTGAGTGAGTTATATTGTGTAATAAAGCCCATTCAGCCAAAGATTGTATTATTTTATTAGGAGCTTTTACTTTTTTTGCTAATTTTATTTCTGAAACATCAGTTTCTAATGAATCAATCTCTAAAGATTTGTCAAAAGGTACGTTTTCTTTTCAAACAAAATTATTTACAATGCTACGTAAACTATCTGCTTGAAAATTCGAGGATATGCTTAAATTATCTGTCAGTATTACATGTTTAGTTGAGCATTCTATTGGTTTCGATACTGGAATGTTATTCCATTCGATATCAGAATCACTAAACTCATAAGTTTTTTTTCTACAACAAAGAGATTTTAATTGCTTAAATTCTTCATATGCTTGTCTAGCAAAATGCCGACTTCTTTGTCTCTTTGAAAGATTCATAATAAAATTATAGCACACAGCGTAACAACCTTTTTATATTTTATATTCTTGAAAATATTCACACAAGCACAAAAAGCCAAATTTGGTTATGTTTACAATATCAATATGCGACCTTCCGTCACATACAGTTACCATTCCTTAAATTTA